CTGAGACTGGAGGGCAGATAAAGGCCCTAAGGAGTGTTTAGAATTCCAAAAGTCCTGTTAGTATTGCTGACACTAAAAGGTTTCTGGTTAAAGATTTTCCTGGAGGCTACTAGAACTCTGGCTTCAGATTGACTCACAAAACCTTTGTGTGTTTCTAAACTTAACAAAAGCTGGTCCTACAGACAGGATTTTCTAGTGAAAAGAGGAGTGGACTGAAAATTAGGAGATTTAGGTACCGTGTTAATTCAGTTACTTGCTACCTTACCATTTCTACTAGCCTCAGTTGCCTCCTTCATAAAGAAATGTGACTTAACAAAAGCCCTAGTCTCTGGATAGCACCTTATAGCTCACCTGTTATTTTTTTTATTAATATCTAGTCCAGCCGCCTTCGTTTTTCAGGTGACAAAACTGAGGTACACAGATGATTTCTTAGTTAAAATGCTACATAATTAATTAATGACTGAAAGCAACAGAATCTTGGGATCCTTAACCGGGGCTGACATTTCAGAATTCACCTCGTTCTAAAATTCCTTAACTCACCCACTTAACAAAAACGGAGTAAACTGGTTGGAAAAAAAAAAAAAAGCAGTGAGAACTAGTACTTTAAAGACCAAAACTGGGTCAGAATTACACGAATTAAAAGTAAACTTCCTGTTCTGAGAAAACTTCCGGAATCAGCAACAGAAAGACCCAATCAGAATCTATTCCCGGAAGCCAATGGAAGAACATATTACAAAGAGCCAATCAAAGCGGTGTTGTCAATGTTTTGGTCCTGTCACGGCGCCGGCGTCGTGGTGGTTGGGCGGTCGCCACCGAGAGCATTTTGGTGGAGCTGTTTTCGGGGGCAGCCCGGCAGCCAGCTACACTCGTTTCCGGCCTCGCCCCCAATCTGCAGCCCCTGTCTTGCAGGCCGCAAGAGAGGGCGAGAGTGCGGGTTGGCGCCGCGGCCTCTTTGGGACCTGGGCCCAGCCATAGCCTCCTCTATCGCGGCCGGATAAGAGGGGCCGCGAGATGCAGCCGCCGGGCCCTCCCCCGGCGTATCCCCCCACTAACGGAGACTTCACCTTTGTCTCCTCAGCAGACGCGGAAGGTGAGACGCAGAGGTCCCGTCATCCCGGATGGCGCCAGGGCCGACCCTTGTGGGGTCTTTCTGGTTATGAGGCGGAGTGGCCGGTAGAGTCGGTCATAAAGCTTACTGGTGACTTAAGCTCTCTCGCGCCTGTCGGGCCTTCGGAAAGGCCTGAGGGGCCGAGCGAGGGGTGTTGGGAGCTTTCTTAAGAAACATCAAGTAACTGAGTCAGATCCTGGCTTTCCCCATGCTAGTGGCAGGGTTTTCTTGGGCTGTTTGCTCCAAGTAGATCCACGGAACGCCGAGGTTTTGCTTCTGGAATTACAGTTACTCAGAAGAGTATGACACCACGGTAGGTGTCAGAATGAAAACAAGAAAGAAAAGCTGTTGTCCAATAGATAACTTTTTTTTGGTGGGGGCGGGGAGTGAGGTTTGCGTCGGCGCTGTAAATAGAACTTCCCCTCAAGAAGTTTCATGTGTTACACTGAATTTGACATCTTAACCTAGGCCCCAGTTTTCCTTTTATTTTATAGTGTTTGACCTATTACTCAAAGGCCCATGTATATTGGAAGCTTCTTAATCCCAGGAGGTATCCCAATAGCTTCTGCAGATTTCCTTGTATTGTTTTGAGGAAGCAGCTTTGCTGGAAAGATTTTTCCATAGTACAGGGAAATGAATTTTCCTTTTCTGAGTTCCTTACCCCACTCCTTGTAATCTGAATCTTTTTGGGCTTGTCCTTTTCATATTTTATTTCTATTAGACTGTACATCATTTACCTTCCAGTGAGCAGATTTACTTCATCATAGGAAACAAACAAATTAAACTATGCCTAAGGCACTTAACAACAACATGCCTAAGGCACTTGATTGCTAACCAAAAGGCTGGCGGTTCAAATCCACCAGCACTCTTCGGGAGGAAAGTTGGGCAATATACTTCCATAGTGATACCACCTCAGAAGCCCAAGGAGGGGTCGCTATGAGTCGGGGCCGATTAAACGGCACATAACAACAACATCAAATTTCAGTCGTCTAAATTTTAAATTTTCCTTAGGAATTTGATTTCCTAGTGGATCAATTAGGATAGCTTGTTTTCCCTTTTTTCCTCCTCGTTTTGTTCTATTGAGTATTTTTTTAAGGTGCTTTAGTTTTGATTATAATTTAAACGTAAAAGAAATTTTTATATATCAAATGAAACAGCTGATACATTAAAAAAAAAAAAGACTTAATATGACTATATGGTGAAATTTGTTGTTGTTATGTGCCCTGAAGTCCACTTGACTCATAGTGACCCCTCGGTTTCCGAGGTGGTATCACAACGGAAATAGATTGCCCAACCTTCCTTCAGAGGAGTGGCTGGTGGGTTTGGACCGTCAGGCTTCTGGTTAGCAGTCAAGTGCCTTAGGCACTACGCTACCAAAGCTCCCTTGGTGAAATGTTGTTACGTGCTGTCCAGTCAGACCCAACTCATAGGGACCCCTCCTTGGGTTTCCAAGGCAGTATCACTACGGAAGTAGATTGCCCCATGTTAATAGCATAGTGATTACCGAGGAATTACTAAAAAAAAATCATTGAGTGTCAGAACTTTATATTTCTTCCAATTCATGTGTAAATCTGTATTTTTTCACCTACTCCCTTTCCCCAGGAGTTACCTTTTTTAAATACTTATAAGAAAGCTGGCAGAATAATATAACTAGCTAACTCATTGAGTCAATAGACTAAACTAAGAAACCTGGAATAAATAAGTAAAATCCATAATGTTTATTCAAACCTCTCCATATATCCTCCATATTATTACATGTAATAACACCTTCATGATTATAACACTGTACATTTTAAATTGACAGAGTATTTTAACCACATGAACTATTTGATTTATAAGAATCCCAGTGAGCTTCATTATACCTGTATTTTATAAAGAAACAGGTTTGGAGAAATTAAGTAATTTTTGTTTTACTTATGTTAAATCTGGAATTAGGTCCTGGTCTTCTGTCTCCTCAAGTCTCTTTCCACTAAACCATGATGCATCTGTCTTACATTTTTATAAATTGAACAGTATATCTGAAGTATAATATTAAGAGTCTTGGATTTGCATCTTGGCATTACCAGTTACTCTTTATGTGATCTTGGGCAAGTTACTTAGCTTTTCTTAATCTCAGTTTATGAAATAGTATAATACCCAGGTGATGAAATAGTTTGCGAATGTAAAGCTCTTAGTGTGTATCTAACCTAGTTAAGTGCTCTGTACATATTAAGCAGTGCTGCTGCAGCTAGGGTTTCACTATTAACTGACACAACACCTTTTGTTTTCTTGTTTTCCATTATGAACATTTGACTGCATTCCAAGTCTTTTCTCTAGTTCCTAAACATGCCATGTACATTCTTGATTCCTCCCTTTACATTCTGTTTCTCTAACCATGAATGTTTTCAGCTTATATTTTCAGTGTACCCTGCTAGATACTGAAGACTGTAGTCTGATCAGTTTCTCTTCCTGAAAGAAACCTGTCCTTACTATTTATGCACACATATCCTTTATTCTAAAATGTGCCTTGGTGTTTTGTCTCAGCTTATTCTAGTCCTCATGCTTGAAATGCCTTTCTTTTCCTTGCCCCAAAACCCAAAAAAATAAAACCCAAGCTCACTGCCTTTGAGTTGATTCCAACTCAGAGTAACCCCCATTGGGTTTCTGAGGCGATAAATCTTTATGGAAGTAGATTGCCCCATCTTCCTTCTGAGGAGCAGCTGATGAGTCCTTGCCCCAAGTGATCACTGAAACTGTGCTCCAGTACTCCCTCAGTGCATTGGAGCTCAGTCCCTCAAAAATAGAAACTTCTCTAATATTTTCTATATCCTGATACCTACCAGTATGTGAAGTATATCATGCTGGGTAAAGTAGAGGGTCAGTGAAAAAGGGGAAGACCTTCAGCAAGATGGATTGACCCAGTGGCTGGGACGATGGTTTTAAGCATAGTAAATATTGTGAGGATGGCGTAGGACCAGGCAATGTTTTGTTCTGTTGTACAGAGTGTTGCTATGAGTTGGGACCAACTCGACAGCACCTGTCAACAACAGTACCTACCACAGTACCTGCAATATAAACATTAAGTGTTTGTTGAATGAATAAGTGATTACTGCTTGCTTTTATCGATATAGCATTGATGTATGGGACTACAGAATTTAGCACAATTAGATGTATAACTTAGGAGCCCCGGTAACAGTCTTTAAGTGCTTAGCTGCTAACCAGAAGATCAGCATTTCCAACCCAGCAGCTCCACAGGAGAAAAGACCTGGCCATCTGTTCCCATAAAGATTACAGCATAGGAAACTCTGTGGGGCAGTTCTACTCTGATACAGGTTTGCTGTGAGTTAGGATCAACTGGATGGCATGCAACAACAACAAAGAAATATAACTAAAAAAATTACTGGATTTAGAGCCAGAAGACTTCAGTTAGACTCCTGATTCTTATAGTAGTTAGGGGCGGGTTACATATCTTCTATAATCTTCCATTTTGTCATCTATAAAATGAAAACAAACAAAAAAATTGCCATCAAGTCATTTCCAACTCCTAACGACCTCCATTGGGTTTCTGAGGCTATAAATCTTTACAGAAGTAGATTACCCGGCTTCCTTCTATGGAGCAGCTGGTGGGTTTGAACTAGTGACCTTCCAGTTAGCAATCAAGTGCCTTATCCACTACACCACGAGAGTTCCTTATAAAATGAAAAGCATTCTTATAAGAATATTGTGAGACTTATTTCAGATAATGTCTATAAAAGCAGGGTCTATAATTACAAGTTATAGAGAACATAAGCCATGTGTGAATGAAGCATTAAATGAATTGAGGATAATAATAAAATTCAGGCTAAATGTTCAAATCTATGGTGTTAATCTACATTGAAAAGCAGTAATGAAATGCATGTGTTAAAGCAAGGATGTAATGATAGCATTATGTGGTATGAAATGTGTATATGTAGAAATCATTAAGGCAATTCTTTGACTTCATTTTGTATCAAACAAGTAATTCTTGCCTGGTATATGTTCACAGACTAGCACTATTAGCATTACCTGAGTGCTTAATAATGCAGAATCTGCCTTAATCATAACCTGCATTTTAACAGGATCTGCTAGTGATTCATATATACATTAAAGCTTGAGAATCATTGGTTTAGAATGTTATGAAAGATCAGAAGAGGAGGAAAATACTTCTAGCTGGAAATTTAATGGAGGTGATATTTTGCTGAACTTAAGAAATAGATAATGATTTGGCTATTGTAGGATAGATGGAATACCTACCATGTGCAAGGGACTGCATATGAGAAAGTCCTTGCCGCTAAGAAATTGACAATCTAATAAGAAAAAATTTCAGCATGCATAAAAAAGGCTGTAGAAAGTATGGCACAGAGAGGTGGTACGAAGGAGGGGGTGGTTATCTGTGCAGGAAGGGAGCACTGAAGTTTGAAAACAAATGAGCATTTTGAAGGATGAGTGGGAGTTCTACAGACTATAAAAGAGGGAAGAGTATTCACATAAGGATTGTACAGATACATTGATTGGTGGAGTAGAGGCAATCTCTCAGTTTTCATAAGAGAGGTATCTTACACCTTCTCAATTTTCACAGACCTAAAACAAGGCTAATTTAGATCATGATCTCCTTGGGATTAGAAGCTGTGTTTTACTACTTAACAGTATTATACTCACTGCCTAGCACATAACAGGAAGTGAATAAATTGTGTTTATGAATAAATAACTATGAGTCTCACTTTGGATTAAGATAAAGGTGCTCAGCTGCTAGAACTGAAAGCCAAGCACTAATTCAATAAAAATTCAGCAGGTAGTAGGAATAGACATGAACAGAGATAACTAAGCAGGAAAGGTGGTCTAAGCCACCCCATCCCCACCCCCCACCTTTTTTTAACCTCTAAATATCTTTTTGTATAAAACATTTAACTGCTAACCAAAAAAATTGGTGGTTTGAACCCACCAGTCCTTCGTGGGAGGAAGATGAGGCGGTCTGCTTCCATGAA